GTAGATAAGTGCTTGGAAGCGAGATGTATAAAAGTGCTGTCAATTTGAACCAAACAAATATTCATTCATGATCCACTTAAAGTGAGTAAAAGTCCGAAGCATATAAAATTAGGTCGAGAATTAATCTGGTGGGCATAAGCTTGTGAAAATCACGTGGAAGTTTGCGAATTTATGTGTAATATGAAACTTGAACAACTGAGATTTCTGAATCTAAACGTAGAAGACACTTAGCATTCGTTAAATACCAAAGACTAAATAGGGCATACAAAGAAGTACATAGTAGGAATGGAAAATTTACACGCACCAAGAAAAATATGAAGTGGACGAGTAAATGACAATGGACATTCCAAAAATTATACCCATCAGTGAGTTGTACAGTGTTCGCATTAAATATAAGGTAAGCTCTAAAGAATATATACCACAAAAATGGTTGGTGCTCTAATGTTTCTTCCAAACTATTTACATTGAGTACGGACGGACGAATGGATATCGAATTATTGCAAAGAAAGGAATAAGCAAGGCGGGTTGGCGGATAAAAATTGTGGATAAGTAACATTTTATAAAAATAAATCTAAAATGCAATAAAACTGAGGATAAGTAGTTGCCAAGACAAAAATAACGCCAAAAGCGCAAAACAAGTTAGACAAGTCTATGTGCGAAAACCAAACTATTATTCGCGGAAGTATCGAAGAGTGGAATAGGGAACAAAATGAATAAAATTTAGTTAAAGACAGGACACTAAGGGTTACAGGGCTAAAGGCATAAGCTAATGATTATGTAACCTGAGCCGAAATTCAGCACAACCGGATGCGATAACTGATATTTGGCTTTGAGGTTACACTATCGGCAATCATGCGAAGATTACTGGCCCAATTATCATGCACTAAAAGTGGCTCTGGTCAAAAAAGGAGGTATTTCCAATGTCATAGCTGTCCCGATATTCACCCATCTTGGCAGCGAGAACACATGGCTTGAATTTATAGGTTGGTGCCATTTTCTTCTCAGGGCCAGCGTTGATAGATACTTTGGCCTCACCATTCCAATGATTACCATACATTCTGATTTTATCACCGGCTTGGAGGTTTAGGGGCCGATGTCCAACCACCGCCTCCCAGTCGCAAATCTGTTGTCCACCATAATAGTAGATATCATCAAGAGAATGTGCACGCGTTGAAGCGTCTCCTAATTCGTCGTGTCTAGTCTGCATCAGCTCATATGCAACTCGACAGACCTAGAGAAAGTGAGATGAAGTTAAGAGGAAATTGAGAGATGAGATAGGATGGATAAATTTGAAGGATAGAATGGGAATGTTTCTCGTATATGTAAAGCTGAATAATAAACAGAAGCAAGATATGAAAAGAAGACAGCTATCTTCACAACTA